TCGCTCAAAGGAGCACACCACACTATCTAAATAAACATGGTAAAATTGTAATTATGAAGGCATGATAGGATGCTACCGGAAACGCGAATAACCCAATTGTTTAGAACAAGTTTGGTCAAAGGATCGGCTTCGCTTGTCTCTTTGACGAGTTGTTGTATAGTGCTAAGAATGGTGATACTCACTGACGGTGCCGACTACGATGCCGGCGAAACGTCTGTGAACGTACCACGTCCACGGTTCAACTTTGGAAATGATCATGCAGACTCCGGACTAGGTGCGTTCTTCTAAGTCTTCCTGCCAATATGACCATGTTGCGAAAACAAGGTCAAACAATCTCTATGCAACGAAAGGAGACTGCGACCACACAAAAGGCTACACCATCTTGGTCTTCATACCTTCGATAGTCTGGGACAATTCTTTGAGCCAATAAATAGATGCAAATAGTAAGCTTATGATGGAGTTAAAAAAGGAAAATAAATGATGTTTTTTGGATGAATTAGTGAGCAAAGAAGTTTATAAGTTAGGTAGATAAATATATAGGAAACACACACAGATGGTTTCCTTATTAATTTCTTTTCCAATTATGCATACTAAGTAAAAATAGGAGCCATGCTATCTATGATAATAAGAAGTCTGCGTCTAGCAGATGTAAATAACAGTGACCAGAAGATCGGTAAATTGAGGCCAATTAGGATTAGTAGACAATTACGTATCACTTGTGAGTAGACATATGAGGGGAGTTTGATTACTAGGAAGGAATAGACAATTGGGTCATTCTAATCAGTTCCTGATTTTTCCTTCATGTCAGCTGGTGAAAAAGTGAGGAAGTGGAACATAAAAACGATTTATAAATATAAATTAACAATTTCTTCAGTGTTCCTTCGTTTAGAGAATTTTCAGACTTTCTTGATAGATCATGCTGCTATATGGTTTAATGCTCAAGTCGTAAGGTCTATGTGAGAGAGAACTGCCAACCCATCCATAAGAGAATATGAGTAAACAAAACGGCTTGTTAAGATCAATGGATCTACAAATTTGAGCTCGCTAAACACATAGCTTATAGAGGACACTTAATAGACTGGTCCAAAACACGTTATCCGGATTACGGGGATTTCACATCAAAGCGTAAGATTAGGGAATATATTGATATTAAGAAGGCAGCCAACGTTCTGAATAGAAGGAACGAATGTATAAAACAGAGTAGAAACTATTTGGGGCTTTTGGATAGACTTAAGGAAAGGGAGAGAAAGGGGAAGCAGGAAGAGCTAGTGAGCAAGAGAAGGAGGCTGTATTATCCTCGAGTCTACCTAGGATTATCACACTTCCCATAACATGAACATTAGATACACACAATAGACAATAGTACAAGCCCAAACATGAATCAACATTAGAGGATCGTAAACTAGTTCATTTGTGTAAGGAAGGAGCTGCAACAGAACGCATTTCCAGTTCGGGAAGTAACTTCATTCATCTGCAAGCATGTAGAGTAAGGGTGAAGTATCCAACCAAATTGTGGGATGTCTCATTAAGGTCGCGAAGTTATACGTATAAAAATTGACAATATTTGCTGCCAACCCTCTTTTCTCTTGGCTTAGTATATTCTTTCTCTATTTCATGAAGTATGGATTCCTGCTCTGATGATGTCAGTCACAGTAAAGACGATAGCTTAGCAAATTTTATGTGGGGTCAGAGGATAGTGAGCCTAGAACTTTTTTGGGCAATTTACGAGTTTTCCTTACGCGGCAATCCTCATTCGGTTTCCCATGAGCCTAGATCACAAATTCCTTCTAACCAACTTTTTATTCGAAGTAGAAGTTCATGTCACAATATATTTCTACTATGCCACATTTTCACCAATGTCATTGGGTTTAGATCATACATGAAGTTCTAGGCAAGCCTCTTATTCAGGTTCTTCGGATAGTCTTTTAATCGCCTTAAACGAAATCGGATGAATACAGCTCATATATCTGATTTACAGGTAGTCTCGAAAACCTACTCACTTACGAATAAAGTAATGTCGTCAATTTCTATAGCAAATATAAGTTTACTTCATCGACCGTCCCAACGCAAAATGTGATATGGAAAATGTCTGATATGCCCTGTGATCTGAGGGCACTCGTGGCAATGTGGCGTAGTGGTTAACGTGTCGAGCTTACACGCTGCACCTTCATGGTTCGAATTCAGTTTTGAGTGTTGATAAGACCTATTGGAGGTTAAAACTGCAGCTCACCCTGTATGAGACATCTTTTGGGAAAGCAACGCTACGTAAAATTCATTGGAAACGTCAGCTCTACTCATATCATTGTGGGAAAAATCAACTACCTGTCCTTTATCACCTTAAAAGAGATAGGGTGAAGACGACTCATATTACAGATTTACTGGTAGTCTCGAAAACCTACTCAAATACGAAAAATTTTGGCGCACTGTTATCACGAGCTTATATGCCGCGCTTCTTGGGTTCGATTTCCACGAGGACCCTACTTTAGGTCGAAATCCCAAATTTTCTCGAATGAGGGCATCCTTTTGGAGGCAAAGCTAAGTGAAACTTAATTGCATTGTAGGTACCACTCGCATCATTGTGGGAAAATACAACTATCAGTTCTTCATCACTGCAAATGTTGCTGCAAACAGAGATTGAATCCTGCTAAATGGTCTAAAGCAGTGGTTCCCAAAGTTTTCCTAGTCGTAGCGCCCTTTTTCGATTAAAATGTTTCCATGGCGCCCTACCCTAAGTATGACTATTCGTAATTAAGAGATATAAATAAATAAAACTTGTGTATCTTCATTATTTTTTTTTACCTTATTAACATTAAATTAATATTTAATAATTAATGTGATGGATGAGCCTGCAAATCACTGGACATTTTTTCAAATTGAAGCTTTTACAATAGTTCGCGGCGCCCCTGTAAAGAGGCCGCGGCTCCCCGGGGCGCCGCAGCGCACAGTTTTGGAATCACTGGTCTAAAGTAGATTGAAAATTCCATCGAAATTATGCAAATTTTATTATCCAAACCAAAAGCTTATTCATTCCGTGAAACGAAACCAATCGCCGCTTATAAGCTATTAGGTACCCATAATTGTTAACAATTATGCCAATTTAAGGTCGATATTTACAGGATTTTATGGGTGAAGATTTGAGTTTATATTCAGATTGAAAATACCGAGCTAAACTACCTTCAGATCCTGACTAAGAACAGTATTTACACTGGGACTTATACGATGATCAATGGCTGATAGTTGAATTTTCCCCATTATAGAAAAATTCAATTATTCCTTTCAAGAAGGTGTTTGGCCTTGTTTTCCCAACTTCTTAGTTTTTCCAGGGAACGTACCTTGTCTGGAGTCTGTAGTATGCATGATAATATCCAGAGATATCGTCAGTGAGCCTTGTCATTTTTAGCTTTTGCCACACCAGAACGCGTAAGAGACAAGTGAAGCCGATCCTTTGACCTATTGTCTAATGACTTCTATACAAAGAAAGGAGACCGCGACCATACTAAGGAGCACGCCATCTTGGCTTTCAAAACTTCGAATATCCTATTCAGGGTTTTAGTTTGCCAATAAATTCCAATTTGACTCAACAAATACAATATTTAAGTATCCTTGGGGAGGAAAATTATATCCAGACGAATCTTAAATTGCAGACTACTTAAACTGAAGGTTAGATTTTAGAAGGCTAATTAGGTAATGACGGGTAGCAGAAATCTGGGACTCTGCTTCACACATTCGTTAAAATATTGCTTTTTTATGTGGACGTTAAAAAAATTGACTTTTAGTTTACTAATGATTATTTAATAAGGTTTATCTGATATTAATGCCATACTATATGTATTACTCTGAAATATGAAGGGAGGTTGAGTTTCAAAGAATCTATTAATCCTTTAATATGCCTTGACTTTTATCTTCTAATGGACAGTTGGTTAGAAGGAATTTGTGATTTAGCCGCATTGGAAACATAAGAATGATTGCTTTGGAGTAAATAATATTGGATTGCGCAGAGAGGTCCTCTACTGACCCTTCTGCAATCTCAAAGAACCCTTGCTGAGCTTTCGTCTATCATGGGACAGAAATTGTCGGAATGAGCTTATCACGTGTTCATCGGGGTCGCAGGACGGTGAGCTAAAGGCTTCTTTGCATAATCCAACAGTCTTCATTTCCCTCAGATTGTAATTTCCAGTAAGGCCAGATCACAAATTCCCCTGACAAAATTTCTCTTTGAAACGAAGGTTCGAATCACATTAGTATAAAATGGCTGTTTGGATTAATGTATAGGATTTATGTTATTTCTTCCTAACTGTCTTGCATACAATGACTTATAAAAATTCAGAGCTCATTCGTCTTGTGCATTTCTGGAATGCAGTTCTGGAACTGGCAGAACTTTCGAATTTGTTCATCGTAATATTGCACATAAATAGATAAATATGTGCTAAAACTTAGTTATACTCGGTGACAGCTTGTGAGACATTTCTTAGTTTCTCATCAGCCAACTTGTAGTCACTATATTATTTATAAAACTTACTTTTTACACATTTATATTCCCTAATAAATGTATCACCGGATAGGGGAAAGTATCAAATCAAAATAAATAGTCTTTGCAATTTAGTCTTCTACTCAAAGGCGCATCTGATAAGGTATATTGGACACCATAAGGATGATCGTTGGCGATATTTGAATTTTCTTTCCTATTTCTCAACCAACTCGCTCCATACGTTAATGCTAATTTTGCATATGCTCTATTTCTCAGTCTGCCTAGAGGCCTCGTCTTGCCCCATCTGGCGGGCTTGATGCCGGCTAATGCTACCAAGAACAGAACACAATCCATTCTACCATATGATCACAGTCGCGTCGTGCTTCTGCCAGACAAGATGGCACATGCATCCTCTGGTCTGATATCTCCAAGAAAACATGGCAACGACTACATTAACGCGAGTTTTGTGGATGGCTATCTTCGTCGGCGTGCCTATATCGCAGCTCAGAGTCCTTTCGATTTGCAAACGACAATTGACTTCTGGCTGATGGTTTTTCAAAGAAACGTTGCTCAGGTGGTGATGCTAACAGACCTTGTAGAGCAAAATGTGGTCAAATGTTCCCAATACTGGCCTAACGTGAGCAAGATTTTTAGTATTCAAGCAAATTGCATAATTTCTGCACTCGCATTTCCTTCTTGTCAAATTCAAGCAGGCATTATGCTTCAATAGAACCAACTATCATTGCATCTTTTATTGAAGTTCTAAGTCTTAATGATTGGGCTGTATATGACACCAATAGTGCAACTTGGGGCAACTCATATCTCACAGACTTGCTGTTCTATACTGGCCTCATTTGTTACTCCGTCTCTGGGGGCTCCACTACACATCTCTTCTCCCGGCTTATTTGACAAACCATCTCTCGCTGAAGCTGCTCTATTGCATTGTTCCTCTTCAGTAGCTTGGCCTCCATTATTATGCTGGCAGCAACATCCTCTTTATCTTAAAGGGCTTTTTAATATCATTTAATATTATAGTACAACTAAGCATATCTCACGTCTAATCTTTTAACTTGTTACCTAAGAGAAGAGAAGCTCGGTTTACGGAGTATTGGCTAACTGAAACTTCAGAATTTTACTTTCGCTTGATAGTTTATATACAAATGAGACTTCGGATTATTATTTTTGATATTTCGTTTATATTAATTATCTTATTAGTTATTAGACATTATCTCATTATGGAGACGCTATACTTTTTTTTCAACTGATGGCTGACTATCACTAAAATGAATATCTGCAATGTTAGTATGCATTGCCAGTCGACCAGATCCTACAACAATGCCTTATAAAAATTCTATTGAGGCTTCATAATTTATTGTATATAAATCATTCTAAATCACCGCATGACTACTGCCTCATAGGGACTTAAGCAATAATGACTAAGAACTGTATTCATCTTAGATCACATAATGTGACGAGGAACGTATAGTCGAATTTTGCCATAATGAGAAGTTCAATTAGCCTTACCGGCCAAAAAATATCCCATCCAGGGGGCACCCCCAGGTAAGGAGTTAAGGCTAAGTGAACTTAAATGGCATTGGAAAGCTGTTCATATCTTTGTGGGAAAATTTATCTATCGCTCCCAGATCACCTGGTGTGACCTATCGTGAATACAGTTCTTATGAAGACCTACTGATATTCTCGAAGCAACTCATTATGAATATTCTAACAATAACGGTTGCTATCATTCTTTTTGTTCTACATTCTTATACCACATTCCTTGACAGAATGCTTACTTCCATATACAAAAAGCAACCTGGTTTCGATGAATCTCTTAGGACACAATTGTTTTGAAAACTTTTATTGTGTATGAATGCGTGTGATGAAGGGGTTCGTTGGTTGATCGCACCGGAGAAGGAAGTCTGATTTATTGAGTTGTTTGGCTTTTATACGACATTCAGTTTGACACAATCCGCGAGACATTTTCATTCGTTTTGGATGAAACCGAGCTAAGCTTTCGTCCATCGTGACGGAGGTCGTCAAAGCTGGGACTCGTTCTTCC